GCTTTGACCAATTAACATTATTAGCTCAGTTAATGAAATAAAAAATTACATTAAGTATAATGTGGTTGAGATGAAGTTATAAAGCGTAATTTCGTTGTGTTACGCCTGGCCTAATGAATAAATTTTCCTTGTTTTATCCTTTTTTCTGTTGGCCTGATCTCATTTAATGTTTTGTGACTTAGACGACGTCACTATTCGTTATTACAAAAAGCTTAAATCCCCTAGAGATTGAGTTTCTGCTATGCTTGCAAAATGTAGAAAGTCTGGTGTTAGCAATTTACAGTTTTGAGATATGGAATGTTTTCGGACTTTTATTGCAGTTGTTCAATCTGTTTTTTTGTAGTATTTGATGAATGCAGACACTATGAAGTCCTCAACGACAGAGAGCGCGCTGCAGGGCGTCACAGGGGTAACATCCTTAAGTGTGACCAGAGAGATCTTGTTACCCCTAAATGGTACAGGTTTACCGGAGCAGCTGGTGCTCAAATGCCAACGGCATGTGTTCCGAAACACTACTGCGGAACTCATGCACCAGGATGGTTGAGTGGCTCACATCCAACAAGAGTCGGGCAGGTTGTGAACGGGAAGGTATGTTTCCATTGGGGCTCCAACTGTTGCAACTGGAATGCTGCTATTCAAATAAAGAAATGCAACGGGTTTTACGTTTACAAACTTTCGAGGACGCCTGTATGTTGGCTGAGATACTGTGGAAATGCCGGCTTTGGTGAGTTGGGTATCGCCTATTTTTCTTTCTTTCTTTGTATGGAAAGTAGGATCACCGAATTCACTCTACGATTTTGAGCTTTCCGGAAAGATATACGCTGAATATGCTACATTTAAACCACGTGGATAGTGTTAATGTCACGTTAACGGTTGTCATTTAATGTTATTTGTCACGAATGAAACCGAGAGAGGATAAAAATCTTCGGGAATGCAGGGTTTTTTTAAGTCTATAGTTTTATTCAACTTTCTTTTGTAGTGGTGTTACAGGACAGAGATATGTGATTGTGTCGTGAGGGAGGCTTTTGCCCTTTAGATGACATGAGAGGTTACGAAAATAGGATTCATACTGCATAGAAGTACAATATTTGTACGTTTCTATGTTTCTAATTGGGTTAACGCCTCGGCGTTGTTATGTATATGATCGCTGCTTTCTTTTAATCTTCATTAATCTCAGTATTATCATTTTGAATATAACTAGTATCAGTATTATCAATCCGATCGTAAATAGTATGGGTATTATTTTTCATTACAAATTCTTCAAGACCCGTGCAAAGCTAGTAGGCCTTGTCAAAATGGCGCCACCTGTGTCAACCAGAATGGAGGCTACACTTGCCTCTGCAAGCCTGGGTACCAAGGAAAGAACTGCGAGCAAGGTGAGGTATCTAGGAGGACATCCTTAAATATCATTGAATCTAAAAATACAACGTAAAATGGTGTCGCGTATTCTTTGTCAAACTTACTGCAATTGACTGCCGGTAGTTGGTCGGAAAAGAATGGAAAACTACCCCACGTGAACAAAAAAATAATGTACCCTTTCAAATAATAACTGACATAAGGACATTAAAAGGAATTCATTTTATTCAAAATTCCAAATTTATAGTTTTGTTTTTCTGATCATGAACATATTAAACCGGATAATAATAATAATAAAAGAATTGAAGACATAGTCATTTCGTGAATGTACAAAGGGCGAAAAGGCAAGCCTATAAAATTGAGGCTGGCAAGGTTCTTATTGTTTTGATACTATTATGTACAGATTTACATACAGAAAAAAGGCTATTAGAATGGTAACAACAATGTTGATAGTAAGAAATGATTACAATGATAATAAAAACAAAATCAAATATATGTTCGGTTTGTCTTTAGATGTTAACGAATGTGTCACGAAACCTTGCCGTAACGGTGGAACTTGTGAGAATTTACAGGGTAGCTACAGATGCAAATGCAAAGCAGGATTTCTTGGCAAGCACTGCCAGATAGGTTTGTATGCTTGCCATTTGTTTTTTTCCTTTAGCGCTCATGTTGCTGTTTTCTTTGTTGTTGTTGTTGTTGTTACCGTTTTTCTTTCAAGTTTTTGCCTGTAAATAATTAAAATAACTGTTACGACTTTTATGATATTAACTTTTCTGTTGAGCAGTTTCCTTACTGTTTATTTGTATTTAAGTTAAGAGAAAAAAGTTTTTTAAAGTGTTTATGGTATTCTCTGAATCAAATATAATGT